TGGCAAGTTTTGACAAGTCACAGCTGTTGGTCGAGGATACTGAAAAGAGAAAAGGAGATAATATGCAAATTTACCCAGCAGTACTGAACAGTGAAACGAAGCACATTTCATTTACATTTTAAAAGAAAGTACGATTTTAGGAGCCGGTTACATTTATATAGGTTTGTTTGTTTGCTTTCTCTGGCCCTGAGCTTTCCTTATACAGGGTGTTCTGTTGTGGTTGCTGTTTTGTATTTTCATCCCATGTTTCTTAAGGTATAAAACAATTAAATCTTGACTTCCAGAGGTCTCTCCGTAAAGACAAAGTATATCTTAGCATGTAAAATTTTCCATTTGGAAATTTACAATTATAATTGTGAGCTCACAGTAGACCTCCAGGGCAGGATTTATACTGAATATGAAATAGGTGTGAGGGTTTGGGTTTTTGTTTTTCCAAAATAGTTTGAATATGGAAGACTATTTCTGAAATTACTTGGACTCAAAGAAATAATTTTCCACTAGGTCAGAACAACCACATCCAAAATATTTTTTTTCCTAAATAATTTAAATAATTTTACTTAATAAATTAAACACTTTTAATACCCAGGTTTCCATTTAAAAGAAGGCAAGAATGTCACTACCCTGATTACATTTTCATTACATAAACTTGTTGACTCCTGAAGAATAAGTCTGCAAAGAAACAAGTTCATGTCACTCATCCCAGCTTTAAAAACAAATTAAAAATTTAATTAACTATAAAATTATTAATAAATCTTACACTTGCTATTAATACTATTATTAAATGTTAATTATTAGTTATTAATTATTAATTATGAGTTATTATTATTGTCCAGTTTCTTTGGGACACTAATGGAAACAAGAATAGTGACAGCCAACTGATTATTTTTTAAAATGCAAGATATTAGTCAAATTTCACTGAATGTCTATCTCTTATCCCTAAGTTTATTTCAACAACATTTGAGAAAGATACTCAAACTTACTTTATCACGGTTACAGGAGATATCTATTGATTGACTGTCAGCAATAGTATTTAAAGTGTTGTAAAGTAAATTAAATTTGCTTTTGCATAATAATTGTATAACCTATGAAGTGTTAGTTATTTTAAATAAATGAACAGATAACTATCAATAGTGACAAATAAGTTCAAAAGCCTTTGAGTTTGGACAACCGGGTTGTCTCAGTCACCAGATAATGTTTCTCAATCAAAACCTTTATGTTGTGGTATAGATAAACATATAAAAGCACAGATAACATTTTGAATTTTCCATACTCTGGGTATTTATTTTATTTTTTTTTTTTTATTTTGTTCCATCTCACTTGTGTTTTTTCTTCAAAGCCAACAAGTTTAAGCTGTGAAAAATGGATCAATGCAAACCATGCTTTCAAGAGTAATAGTACAGAAGAAACAGAGAAAGAGTGTGTGAGTCATAGAGTCCAGAACAATATCAATTTAATTTTGGAAACAATAACTATTTCTTAATGTGGAATTCTGTCTTGTGAGAAATGGATTTCTAGCTTATAGGACTAAGAGCTGAGATGATAAAGCAAAATCCAAAACAGACACAAAAATACATTTTTCTTCCTTTCTCTATTGTTATATATATATGCAGACACATAGATATAAAGATATAATTTATATTTCTACCCTTGTTCAGGTTAGTTTGACACTAAATTGTATATAACATCTTATGGACTTGTTGATTAGTTTTTATATTAAGTTTGTGTACCTTTTTCATATGACTTATTCATTTACTTCTATATTTTTCCAAATAAGCTGTTTTGTTTCTGGTAAACTTATGATTTAATATATTTTCATTCCTTATAAAGCAGACTATTTATATTACAAGTAAGAATGATATGGACTGGATAATAATGAGGAGAGAAACTCCTAATTAGTGGGAGACAAAAATATTTTTTCTCTGTTACATTGGATTAAAATTTGAACACATTTCTCAGGAGACAACAACTAAGGTCCTTCCCAACATTTTTAATATGCAAAAATATAATATTGTTGCAAATTGCCACATTATCTCCATGCATGTCCTTTTATGTCACTTCTCACTACAGAAAAAGGTGAGCAATATTTTTCTAGCTCAAGAACAAAATTATCTAGAAAATACTTTTAAAAAGCTGTTATATTTTTAAAAATATTTTATGTCCCACCACAAAAAAAAAAAAAAAAAAAAAAAAATAAAAGGACAAGTCACAGAAATGCCCAGAAGAAGTATTTCAAAATAGACAACACAAACCGCTCAGAATTGACAGATCATTGTTCACATCTTCCTTATTTCCTAAAGACTTTGAACCCACATTACCCATTTCCCCAGAGTGTGCTCTAATCTTATGTGGTATTCTCCGTATCTCCTCTGACTTTATTCCATATTCAACTCTATTAAATATTCACTAGATCAGTACTGCAACACAAATATGCCCTTTGGGTGTACTGTTGGCCAGGATACAAAGTCATTCCTTCTACTACTGACTTTCTGCTGCTTGATCTCATGTTGGCTAAGAATGATAACTAGGCAAAAATGAAGATATTTTGGCTTCCACAATTTTGGGAATATGATTGGATTTTTTTTTTTAAAGTCTATTTTTCAGGATTGTAAATATCCTTTGAAAATTACTAATTGAATTGTTTAAAAAATTTCATCATTTCAAACAAATATTGTATTTTCTATTTATTCAGAATTATTAAGGTTTAAACTAAATTCAGGAATGTCACAAATTACTTTTTTTTTTTTTTTTTTTTAAACTATGTACTTAATTAACCCAAACCACTGATTTTTCTTTCACTGTTTCCATGAGGAAAAGAGGAAATGGGCAAAAACTGATGTACAGGAAGTTCCTGTACCTGAATTATGAGGAAAAAATTCTTTACTGTGTGTGTGACTGGGCACTAGAAGAGATTGCTCAGAGAGAGTGTGGGTTCTCCCTCTCTGGAGATGTTCCAGAACTGTCTGGACACAATCCTGTGCCTGTGCTCTGGGATGGTGCTCCTTGATTGGGGAGTTTGGACCAGATGAGCCACTGTGGTCCCTTCCCACCTGACCCATTCTGTGATTCTGTATGTGGGTTGTTTTTTTTTACATATTTAAGGAAAAAAAAGTAGAAATCAATCTGAATGGACCTTTGCAGAAAGCTAAAAACTGGAAAAAAAAGGAAAAAAATCCCAGCAAAAATCCCACAACCTGATTAACAGAGAAAATTATGTAATATCTGGAAAGAAGTTTAAGCTCTTAGATAAATAAATTTGGTCATTCCATCACAAGTATGAAATAAACTTAGCTCATTTTTAGCTCACTGCTTATTTTCAATGTGTGGCAAAATAAATGCTATTCTATAGACAAGAAATCATTTGTTACTGTATAATAATCTAGAGGTTCAGGATCTCATTTGTTTATTTGCACAAAAAAATAATTTTATTAGTTTATCTTAGATACTAGCTATGGATTGAACAGATGAAAAATTTCAGCTTTTGCAATTAGTAATTTTAATTGAAATAAATATGTAGCATTTAAATGGTATAATAAGGGTCAATTCATATGGAAGTAGTTTGTCACTAACTCATTTGTCATGTTCCCATCTGGCAGGCTCTCTCAGTGGGCTTCAGTCTTCCCTTCTTCTGCACCAATTTCTGACCATGGGACTTGTGCTGTGTTTGGGAACTCCCATCTAACACACAGCCCATCAGGTGTCTGAAAAAAAAAAACACTTGGTGAATGTCACCTGTGCAGTACAGCCTGAACTGAAGCAAATTTAACTTTTCAGTGATATACATCCTTTCTACAGAAAGCAAATTTTGCCTGAAATATTTTTTTCTTTAAATTCAAAAATCAGATACTGTTCTAATGGTTTATCTTTTACCAGCCTTTAGAAAGAGCGTGACAGATTTTCAGTCTCTTCTGATCAAGGCTGATGCTGGGCCACATCCTCCTTAGTGCAACACAAACACCACACAGGCCAAGTCCCAGATTTAATTAACTAAACAAATTACCTCAACCAACCTACAGCAATATCTCAACCAGCTTTTATAACACAACTCTCCTATACTTCTCTGGAGGAAGTGAGGGAGTGCACTTGGTCCGGGGAAGGGGGCAAGGAGACAAAAGGTGTTGCTTTATGCTTTGTCCTTGTTTCTCATTATTAAATCCACATCAACTAGCAACAATTTAAGTAATTTTGACTAAATTGTATCTGTTATGTCTGTGAGAGTAATTAGCAAGTTTCTCACTATTTCATCTCTTATACTTTTCTGCCCTGCCCACTTGAAGAGTGGGAGGGATTGAGCAGCTGGGTGGGCATTTGAGCTTTAGCCAAGGTAATCCCACCACAGCTCTTCATGATCTTTTTCCTTGGCACAACTTCATATCTAATATATCATCTGAACATCCAATCTTGCTTCTATGTCTATAACTATTCAGACATTGGACTGTATGTCGAACCATGTGGAATTCTCTTGCTTTTCTGTAGGTGAAAAAAAAAAATCCCACCTAAATAGAACTTACTCTTCTCTGCATGACATACTTCTTTATATACTTAACTGCTACAGCAGGAAGTGCCTAAAAACAATTTATTGTTTTATACCATAAAGTAATTTTGGACCTCCTGCTGGAAGATATTTTTGAAGCCAACAATTTAAATAAATTCTAACCTGTAGATGTTGCTGTTATGGTACAAAACACTTGTGCTGAAATTTGGATCCTTTTAAAATCTTAACTGCCTCTTGCATTTGAAATGTCTCATTCAGTACTTCAGAGAACCAGAGCATCATACAAATGAGAACTTGGGTCTGTATTTTCCAGTTGCAGAGCTAAGCAGATTGGCTGAATCTTAAAAAGTTATTTTCATTATCTGTTTTCTGTTGGCACATAAATTTGGTCTGGGAGTGCTAAGGCCCATAAATAGACATACAAAATGTTTCATGCTACTTGGTAATGTTAAAACTTAACAAAGGTTAAATATGAGCATGACCAGTGAATTTCTGTTCTTTTTTGCAGAGATGATATTTACCCTGTTGAGACGAAAACATAAGTAGGATACCTTTGAGAAGGCATCCAGATTTCTTGGCAGGATAAACCTTGTCTCTCTGAGGCACTGCTGTATCATCAAAATGTGCAAAAATAAAGAATATCAGCTTTGAAAGGCTCTTTATTTCTGCAAAACAAACAGATTAATTAATGTCAAAAAAAAAAAAAAAATCCTGAGTAGATTCTGTAAAGCTGCCTTTAGGTTGTAAAAATTGCATTTGTCAGAAAAGAGTCAATGGGGGGAACCCCTGGAAGTCAGGCCACAGATCCTAAAGCAGGGCATAAAATCTGTTGTAGCTCTGAAAAGACTTCTTGAATTGTATAAAAGCTGTGGAATTAGGAGACAAAACATGTGCTGACTACAGAACAAGGGTTATGGAGAGGAGAAACTGTCAGTCTCAGCTTGGACAAGCAAAACTGCCTGAAGCTGTATAGAGCACTGTGAAGAGTAATGAGCCATCCTTGCACACAGGTATGCACAGCACAGATGCCACGAGTGTTGTCTACTGAGGGCAGCTCACTTTAAAGGCAGCTCTGTTTCTCATCAAATATTACACAGATCCCTCCTGAGTACAACTCACATCACAAAGTTCCCCAGAGTAGCCCCAGCAAAACAGGATGGGTGGTTTCTACCATAAGGACTTGGAACAGAAAACAAAGATATGTCATAGAGACAAGATGAGGACTTCCACATCCTTCAGGGGACCAATCTGTATAAAGCTGGCTGCTGGGGCAGCTGGGTTTCCTGTGGCAGGAGGAGAAGGTGAGTGATTTAGAGAATCACATCATTTGGAAAAGCTCAGCCAGCTGGGAAGGATGGGCAGGTTTCTCTGCAGGATTGCCAATTTACAGAACTTCTTGAAATTAAAATGTCTGGGGAAATCAAAAGTAAAAGTATTAAGGCGGTATTCTTAGAGGCTTTAATCTTTCATTTAGTATCAGTTTGTTGGAAAAAATGTCAGCTGAAAGTCTACCTTTTGAACCCTTGTTTCCTGTTCCAGACTCTTGTGGTTTTGGAACAATTAGAGAAACTGAATGTGATTCTTTATAACAAAAAAAAAAAAAAAAACAACAAAAAACCAAACAATCTTATTGATTGTATTTTGGTTTTCAGATCAGAATACACTACAGTTCTCCCTTTTATTTACTTTCATTCTTTTTCTTCATCATTTTCAGGGTAAACACAGTCATTGTAGCTTAGTTCTGGCACAAGCTGTTCCCGAAGACATTTTAAATATACATTTCCCAAATTATTCCATCTCTGGGATGGAGAAAACTTACAAGGGACCACAAGGTCAGCCCAACAGTTTAGCTGAATTTTTACTAAGGAGGCAGTCTGATGCCACAGGCCTTGATCACAGAGTGCTTGGGCTGGCAGAGCAGCCTGCTTTGCTGCTGGGAAGCGTGGAGGGAGTGAGGGAAATATTGTTTTCATTAAATGGTCCCTTTCCACTTAAATTATGCAAGCATTGATCTGGTGCCACAATCATATCCTGTGTGACTGGAGATAGTTGAAAGAGCTACCATCAGTTAATCTGCTCTTAGGAAAAGGAGGGTAAAGGCAAAGGATGATAAAGGAAAGAGGTACTAAGTAATTAGCACAGGTGAGTAGGTTTACTGGAAAAAATATCCAACAAGTGTGTAGCAAGAGTTGTGCAATTATTTGCATTCCCCAGTTTAAGGTGTCTCTATATGGCAGACAGTTTATAGGTGATTAATAACCATGAGGAAAATGATATGACTATTAAGTTATATGTTTGCAGAAGTTACATTGTAATCAAGACTCCTTCTACAAGGATGGACAAATTGGATTAACTCCAATGTGTGTTCTGACTTCTTGGACTTGTTTAGTCACTCCCTGGCTGCTTCTCAGATATGGACAGGACATAATGGGCCAGACAAGAGTGTATCTAATGAAGCACAGCACAGTATGAGATCTGTGAAGGTAAGTCTAGGTCAATGAAATATCCTCCGGTCTTCATTTCTGGGAAAACATAGCCCATATATCCACTGCTTAATCCCCTAAACTCTCTTGAGAGTGTAAGAACACTCTCAAGGGCACACAGTCTGACTACATTGCTCTCAAAAGTTTATTGATGACCAGTCCTACAGCTCGGGAACCGGCACACTCAGGTGAAGGAGAATGCCTGGCAGTGCTCGAGGGTGTGTGAGGACATATCTCCCTGCAACATCAGTAAACTGAGGATTTTTTCTTCAGACACACCTTCTGTCAGGCAACACATCCACATCACTTGTTAATGGCATTCTAAGTAGCTCAAATATTTTTCTGATATACCTAGAAATGCATCCCTTAGAATTTTAAAACACATATTTATATGAGATTGAATTGTAATGATTATTCTACCTTAAGTGGAGGGTTTTTGTTTTTTTTTTGTTTTTTTTTTTTGTTTTGTTAGTGTTTTGTTGTTGTCTCATGGTTTTGCTTGTCTGAGACTTTCTTTAGGTGGAATGTTGTGGGTTGGTTGTGTTGTTTTTCTTGTTACAAGTGTTTTATTATTCTTGGTCCTTTCCTGTTTGCATTTTATGATGTGAGTTTACAAATTCTATTTGACCTGATAACTGTGGGATTCAGTGGCTACTTTAGAAAACATTGAAGAGGTAAGTATAAGCCACATAAAGACTAAAATGTATTTTTTCAGTATTGGTGCCTGAGTAGGGTAGAAGTCCTATTGTGGACTGTATTCAGCCTTTATTCTCGCCCCTAAGAGATAACTGAGCTGCCAGATAGTCATATATAGCAAATAAATATTTAGATAGCTCTGAATGCTCACAGTATTGCTACCAGTTACTCATCTGCCTTATAAGATTAAAACCCCCAAACATATATAAAGGATGTGCAGTAAACTGACAGCCATCCTCATCCATCCTCCAGACTTCAAAATCTTTGGATTTGCAGCAGCTAGTTGAGATAATGAATTTGTGACACAGTTGAGGAATTCAATTAATTTCATATGCAACTATAGCAGAAATATTTCAGCAGGAATGTTTCAGTCCTTAATGGTCTGGACCAGCTTTAAACTTGCAGAGAATGGCTCCATAAAGGCCCCATTTGCCAGGCACTTAAACTGGCTCCAACCTTTGTTTTAAAATTTATCACAAAGACCTGGGAGTATATAGAATCATAGAATCATTTATGTTGGAAAAGACCTTTAAGATCCTTGAGTCCAGCTGTTTACCCAGCACTGCCAAGACCATCACTAAACCACCCCAAATGCCACATCCATGTGTGTGTTTTGAGCACTCCCAGGGACAGTGAGGTAAAACACTTCCCTGGGCAGTCTGTTCCAATGCTTGACCACCCTTTCACTAAAGAAATATTCCTAATATCCAATCTAAACCTCCTCTGAGGTTTGGAGGGCCTTGAGGCCATTTATTCTTGTCCTACCACTTATTATTTGGGAGAAGAGACCCATCTTCACCTCACCACAACCTCGTTTCTGGTGGTTCTAGGGAGCAATAAGGTTTTTCTTGAGACTCCTTTTCTCCAGGCTAAACACCCCCAGCTTTCTCTGCTGCTTCTCATCAGACCTGTGCTCCAGAACATTCTCCAGCTCCATTCCTTACTCTGGACAGGCTCAGGGCACTCCCTCCATATTCTTCTAAAGGATTTGTCATGGAAACTTTTGAGCCACGTCCTTTCCTCTCACTCCATCAATTGAGTATCTTTCTATATGTATTTATATATTACATATATCTTAAATATATACAATATAAATTAATATATATAGTGCATGCTAATATAGAAACTTATATTAAATCTCTTCATTTGGGTTTTGTCTTTTTTTTTTTTTTCCTTTTTTGCCAAATGAAATTCTGTTTTTAAAGTCAATGTACAGAACTTGTGTCTCAGTCCTTATGTTGAGGATGGCTAACAATTCACAGAACAGAATTTTGGGAAGGTTTTTTAGGCTAGGATCATTCTGCTGTCCAGTGTCTGTGTCCAGAAAGGAAAGATGATTTGCATTGGACACACCAGATGGCAGAGGCAGTTAGAGCAGGAGGAGGCTTGGTGCTCTGCCACCATGTACTGGACAGTGCAGAAAGCCAGCAAGGTAACCATGTGGAAAGAAATGAAAGGTTACAGATAAAATCTCAGCAGAAAGGTGATCTTTCTACAGAACTGAAGGCAAGGACATTTTCAGAAAAATGGGAAATCACAAGTGAACAGCTAAATGTCTATTAAGATGCCAGATCCATGTAAAATAGCCATGTGTGAGGAAGCTCTGTGGTGAAGTATAGGGAGCTGCTAAATGTAATGGAACCCCAGAAAGAAATGTGAGCAAGACAAATGAAATCCTGAAAAAAAAAAGGAAAGAAAACAGAAGTGAAGAATGGGAAGAGAACATCTCAAACCAAAGGTCAGCATTAGGATAAAAGCCATAGGCACTCTGATGTCCCTGCCCTTTGGGGCACAAAATCCCATGACCCATGGTTTCTGAGGTCTTGCAGGTATTTTATTCAGTGGGAGAAAGCACTTGCCATTCATTTACATAAAAACATTAAAGTCTCTTCATTCCTTCTGGAGAACAATCTAGTAGAACACAGTGGGTATCGATGTCAAAAAATACTCTTAATTTTATAGCTATTTTATATTAAAAAATATATGAGGCATATTAATCAGAAATTAGTGGGTTAGATAAGGTCAGCAGAAAAAAAATGCTATAGGCAAGTCCAATCAACCTCATCTATTTTCAGTGCAACAGTTGAAGATGCTGAAGGCCTGGCCTATAACCTGTGTGTAGTGTGACTTTCAGGAATACACTCAGATTTTTTCAGCCCTCCCTACCTGCAGAAGGGTTGGCAGTCATCCTTCTGTTCTGAGAACTCATCTCCAAAGGCTCATTTGAGCATCAGTCGTCCTTAACTGGTGCTTCCCAAATTTACATGGTGCTACTGCTGCCATTTCATCTTGGAACTGTAAATATCCTGAGTGTGGGAATTAGCAGAACCTTGTGGGCAAACCTTAACACATCAACAGAGCAGAGGGAAATGTCATTGCTCTCATACTACAGAAGTGACAAACTAAACTTCTGGCAAATAAGTGGAAAATTTCACCCTGTAAACTTATGGCCTGGGACTTCATCATCCAAAATCAGC